CTTATTTCCTACACTCCTTATCCTAAACCCATTATTGTGTCCCGTTACCGCATTTTTAGAATGGTAACATGAGGAAATACAACAGCTGCGATTGAAATCGTTAAGTATTCCTTTTTATAACCTATCAGAAAAAAGTGGGCAGATTTAATTTCAATGAATATTTACTTTAGCATTTTAGGGGTCTTATTATATCATGGTGATATTTTTTTTTGGATTTAGTAAACAATATAAACCAATATTGATCATTTTTGATCATCACTTTGAATTGATCATTTTTGAGAATCCATTAATCAATGATATGTTAATAAAGAATAAAAGCTCAGTTAATATTCTGGATCTGATCTGTATTCTAACTTTTTGTTAATTCCCAACATTGCTATCCGGTTTTCGTAATAGGATTACCTCTTTGCAGAATATCGAAAATCAGCCAATAACTTACGAAGGATTCGATTTAATTACATGAGATGATTCGATATTTTTGCTAACATAAAATTCTTCATATTTCTTCAAATTTTCACAGATATTTTATAAATATAAAATATTTGTTCTTATTTAATTTAAATCTTACAACTTTTGCAGAAATTTACAATTTCCAAACTATGCCATATTTAAAACTTTCAGCAAAAATTCTCTTTCATAAAATTCTTTAACAATCATTGATTATACTCAGATAGTGTCATAAGTAATGTCAATATGTTATTAATTTTGAACAGCAGAGATTATATGAGCAGATGTAATCGATCAGATAACAATAACGATTGGAACTGTTATTGTAAGGACAATTTTGTTGGAAGTGGATTTATCAGAGAGATGCGCTAAACGAACATCATCCCTATCTCCTGCTGCGCTAATAAACTGTAAGAATTGCTGGCTGATCGTATCTTCAAATAAAGTTCGGTGAAATAAAAGAACAAAGAATGAAGCCAAGCGAAGTTTTAATGACAAATCAGTAACACATTAAAAATCAGAATGAACAAATTTTTTATTTAATATTTTCTGCGAGGGATTATTTTATTTCATACATTATTTTGAAGTAATTTAAAATAGCATACAGTTTGCTTAAAATTGAAAAGTCAACCTTTTCAGCAAGTCAACTTTTTTTTATTAATTAAATTAAAACAACTAAGTCTATCAGCAAATTAGCAAATTAATTTTTGATCAAAAACAAACTTTTGACAATCTTCGATAAAAAACAAATAAATTTTATTAATTCAAAAAAGAAGAATGATTATTTCTTAAATTGTTTCACTACATAATATATACAATTGAATAAAATAATGGTTAGAATAAAATTTAATAATAATCAAATTCTCAATTAATAAAATGAGTTGGTAATGCATCCAACGGTTAATAAATTATACATGAAGTAAAAGCTTACATGTTATTGATACCCCAAATAGTTACATCATATATATATATCTGGATATTGAAATACCTGAAGTTATTAATTTGTTCATTATTTTTTCATGTAAAGGTTTTGCGTATCAGAGCTTATTAGAATTTCTATAATGATAAGTTACATTTGTCAAAACGAATTTAAAGTTTAGTAGTAAGCTAATTTGTCATACAAGAACATAAAGTGCTACCATCATTTGTTGTTTTATACTAATTTACGGATTATTGATGCACGTGTTTTCATCTCGTCTTTTCTTAAAGGAGAATAAAATTGACAAACTATCATTACTTGTTAATCCGTAAATTGACAGTTTTCGCTTAGTCATCAAGTCTTGATAATACCAAGAATAGAGTAGATCATAATTATTATGCTTTTATCCGTTTTTCTGCAGGCAATACACACTTGTCATCATTGCCACAATTGTTCCAAACAACCAAATTATCTTTCCGGTTTGAAAGAAAAAGTATCAACGAACTATTGACCGTAAAATTATTTTCGATCAATAGTAACAATGACACAAGTGAAAAGTTGCTAAAAGTAGTAATCGTTGGGATCATTGTTTTGTAAGCATTGTTAGCAATAATAAGCATAGTAAGGCCTGCTATACCTTTCTCTCTTCTATTTCTCAACCCAACTATTGAGAAATCTCCTTTTTCTAATCAAATTCAAAAAGATTTTAAAAGTATTTCTTAAACGTTACCTTTCTGAATTTCAAATTTCCAAACAAAAAACAAATTCACATCTGTGCTGCTATCAAAGATGGAATTTCCATCGATTCTTTGGCCCATTTTGAGTTAATGTATTTTGATTTACTACATGAAAATATCTGATCTGAAATATTAACTAAAAACTTGAAAATGTTCATTTCGAAAGTATGACTCGTTGTGTGATTACTATTTGATTTTCATATTTCTCAATCATTTCCATACATAAAAATTTTGAAAAATTAATGTGATATGCTAATTTGAATAAGTCAGTTTTAGCATTGACGTATCGTCAACTGGTACCACCAGTAACAGACAAATCACACCGTAAATCCAATCTGAAGCACAATGCAAGGACATCAGGATGATGAATGCATTTGTCCTCTAACCATTGTCCATCCCACTATTAAGTGGACTGCTAAGAAATAGTATCATAGTATAAAGCGTGAAGTGTTTTGCACTTCCTTAACTACACTACCGATTAATTATGCCTTTGAAATATGCATATTATTGCCGACATCGTGCCTATATCATTTCCGAGGTAATATACAATAATAGCACATGGACAGTTTATTATTACTGATCTGACCGTATACAAATGTTGTAATTTCCTTTTCCGGAAAAAAGACAAAATTTTGAAACTCAAAGGGATGCATGCATATTTATTTATAAAATGCTAATTTAATCCGAAACTAATATTGTCTCTTAACTTAATTACAAATTAGTAGAAAAATATTAACGAAATGTGGTGGTGGAAGAAAAAGAGGTTTTTATTATTTAATATTGTTAATAAATACACGGTTTTTTTTAATATTGATAAAGAAAAATTAATTGAATCCACTATTGTTTATTTATTTGCATTCCTGTTTTTGTAATATACAATGTTAACAAATGTAAACATATGATAAGAATTCTGTTAACACCTGACTGATAATTGCGATTATTAATTTCAAATTTCATCCATTGTGTTTAAATATTGTTTTCGAAAGCGGAAATTCAGAATAATGGAATAAATGGAATTAATTAATAACTTTAGCAGCAAATTTTCGAAAACAATAATCGAAGTGGCTTATCATAAAGAAATTTCTTTTTCAGAATTCCTAAATCCCCCTACGCCTAATCATTACACAAATTATTGCTATTTACGTCTATTTTCATTTATCGCTGCTTCATTTCCGTAATTTCATCAACACTTCCTTATTTCCGGTCTTTAATTCATTTATGATACATAAATATTTTTAAGTTTCCTTATTGCCAGCAGCTTATTACTGCATTATTCACTGAAAATACGATTAACCTTCATTGATCTTATCTTCCCAACAGGAAATTCTCTTCTAAAGGACTTCTTGGAAATATAACTTCTGTTTATAAAACATTTATAAGAAATTGTAGAAGCTGCAAGTTGTCAAAACATATGTAATATTTTGATAGCTTATTGTTTGCTATTTTAACTTTATGAGTGAAAAATAAGTCATAAAGTTTATTGATTTAAAATTGAAATGAATAACTGTCAATTTCAAACAAAACATTCATTATTGATATGTAATATATATTCATTGAAATGATCAGTACACAATTTCATTGAAAAATTCTTTTCCACCAGCCATTTAGTTAATTGATACTCAACAAAAACAAAAACTTTTTTTTCATAATTACAATGCAAAAGCATTTATGAGTAAACATAAATTTCCGGTGGTATTTTTAAATGAAAAATGTTATGTGACAAATGCGCCATTTATTTATAAGACAGAATGGATTAATTGCTATGATATAATTAAATTGAATTCTGTGCGGCATCTCAAAAAGCTAAAATTATCAATTGTTTTTTCAAATTGCGTTTTATGATATTTAGTTCATATAATTTCGAAGTTTCGTTGTTCGATAATCATTAACTTTCACTGAAAAAGAAGCTTATAATTAAAGATTTAAAAAGGAATTTATTACATTTATTTGCTAACAATTCGAAATAACTTTCTTTCTTCAAAATATTTAAATTTTAAATTTCTTCAGAATATTCAAATTAAAATTGTAATATTTAAATTTATAGCATTTAAATTATTTCTCTTTGTTTTTGAAAGAAATTAAATGCTACTAAGAGAGCTAAATTAAAATTATAATTAAAGTGTAAAAAAATGCATTCATTAATTTTACTAATTAAACTCAAAAAATATTTTTTGAATAATTTCGGTTCATTACCTTTTCAAATAAGTATTAAAAGAAATATTTGCATAATTTATTTTGGCAACCTTTTCTCAAAAAAAATTTCGAGCGCAAAAGTCTGGCGATGAATGATATTTTATTTGCAATTTTTGCTCTCTCCCGACTTTCATATTTCTCGAATTTTGATGGAATGAAGAGAAGAGGTCATTTTGTTTTCTATCATAACGAAGGAATATTTTAGCGATACCTTGGAAAGTTGGTAGTAATTGCAAAAACTAAAACTTTCAATATCAGTTTCGATTCTATCAGAACCTATCAAGAAAGTTTTGTTCTTTATGGAAAAATTTTGCATTAACTATCGTCCAGTATTGGAAATATTTGGATTAGTAAAATTTTTACGTATATATAATCTAAAATATTTTCAATTGCAACAATCGATTGACTTCCAAATGATATTAGAAAAACTTACAAAAGCTTCAATACGTTGGTACTTCTCGTATTTCTCGGTCCGAATGCTAAACATATAATGCATTTATGATTCAATTGATTTATTTGAAATAAAGAAACTTATCGCTAATTAATAAAAGATAAATTTCATAGGAATCCCAAACAATCATTGGAAGGTATTCTGTTCGTTTCCTAAATTCAATAGCCACTTAAAATATTTTGAAACTTTTTTCACTCAAAATTTTTATCTAGAAAAAAATGGTCAGCATACGAAAGTTTCAAAATCATTATACCTAACCTGGCGGATGGGACTGATTTTCTGATCTCTTTGATAAACTATCCTCCTCATTCATTTCAAATTTTTGATGATCATCATCGTATTGCTCCTCTTCTGAATTTTCTTCACTTGATTCTTCCTCCTTAACTGATGCCTTCTCGTCATCGTTCGCCGTATTAACTTCTGCTAAGGTAGCAACAAGTAATACAGTAATGAATATCCACATCGCCCTAAATTTCATTTAGTCTTGAATTCTTAATTTTCAAATTATTGACTAAAACTGATAAAAATAAACGTTCGCATTACGCATATTTAAGTTTATAGAAAAATTCGAAGGAGTTATTTTGTTATCTTTTTGCAATAGAAAAAAAGAAGTAATTATTTGAAATTTAAAATTTTATAAATTTCAGTTTCTAATTAGCAAAATGATTAAATTTTGTTTTAAAAGGATTTTAAATGATAAAATGAAAAATTCATAAACATTTGTTTTTGGATCAAAAAATAAAAACTTCGTTTAAAAGAGATATGCAATGATAGCATTAGCACAATAGTACCAACCATTAAAGTTTTCTGTATAAATTATGCCCTTCAGAATGTTTCAAATAACTCTCTATGCTTTTAAGCTTTATTTCTAAGTTAGCAAAAAATGAAAGAACTTTTGTTGATGAATATGTTTGTTGAAGAATGAATGTATAATATAGTCGCATTTGAAGATTTCAATTTAATTAAAGAAACAAGTTGAAAATTGATTTTAAAAAAACGATCGAAATTTTTTTTGGGAATGAAAAGAATTAAATTTCGATGTTATTATCACATTTCTAACTGTTTTTCTTTCTTAATGATATTACTATCCAATATATCAAATATTTTTATGTTCAAAATTAATTTATTTTATATTATTTAATGACAGCTGAATTATCGTTTTGTTATTCATAGCAATTCTTTTCATAAATTCATACTCTTCAAGTGATTTAAACGTTGAATTTTAAGTAATTCATCAATTCTGTGAAACTTTTCACATTAAATTGAAAAATGGGAAAAAAATGTAAAAGTTTTAAATGTGTTAAAAATTCTACAAATACTTTCAAAAAATTTTGGAAATATTTTATTTTATCAAAAGGAAGCAAAAAAGCAAAGAAGACGGATTTTAGATGAATAGGAAAGGTAATGATTATGGTTATCACAGGTTATCACTGTTATAATGATAAGGATAAATTCCATATGTAACGATAATGACTGCGGTTATCATAGTAATCGCTGTTATAAAAGAGAATAATGATAAGGGTGAATTCCATATGTAGATGGTTCTCTTTCATTTTATGATACAAGCATCGTCAGAATCATTTTAATGAGAATTTCTTTAATGAAGCAAATTTTGTATTTTTTATACTTGAAAAAGATAAGTTTTCTTTGAAGAAGATAAGCTGTCTTGAAGATTCCGATTATTTGATCAAGAAATGAAATAATAAAACATCCATTTGTTTCTATCTTTGAGTAACAATAAGAATTGAAAATAAACGTAAAAATAGATGTAATGATGATTTTGGCAAAATAAACCTTAGCAAAAAATTTCTTTAATTCAGAATTGAAATTAAGAAAGTGCTTTAAATACTTCAATTGTTTAAATTAAATTAAAACTTGTATTAATATATAAATAAACAATTCATTACTGTAAAAATTGAATGAGAACGTTTTTGATGATTGTCAATTATGAAGTAAGAAAAAATTAAATTCTAGTAATAGTTCCAATCTTATAATTATAGTTATATTCACATTTGAGGGAATCAACGAAAAAGATAAAAAGATGAATTAATCATTGATTTGTTTTTCATCGGATATTGTAAGATACATTAAAATGGCTATGACTTCTTTCATTTATTCATTAAGGTTAATTAATTATTTACCTTTCTACCAAATGATGTTATTCATTTAATATTACATCTAATAGAATTTTGAAAATATTTCATGAAGAAATTGGAAATAATTGATAAATTTTGATTTTTCACCTTTTATGTTTTTTTTAATAATTTATTTTCATTTTCTCTTTTTGGAAAAATTGTTATTCGTTGACAAATTTGACAAATTTAAATAATGAAAAATGAATGATTCATCAATGATAAACTTAGTGTATCGCAAAAAATTTATTGCGATAAAATAAATTTAAAAAAAAATATATACTTTGTTACCTTTTTCATCTCTCTCCTCATTAATATACCATTTTTTAGAAAGGAAAAGAAAGGGCAAAGTTTTTCTAAGGAAAGGAATTGTGAGGAAGTAAGCAATCGAATTTGAAGCTTTTAACCAACTCTTACCAGCTCTTCCTTCCTCTTGCCACTTTTTGAATTTATTAATGATCATGCTGAACACGATTTCATTTGTAAAATAATTTCAGAAGCAATAATAATAATTAATGATAACAAAATAGATGAAGAAGATATAAGGATGATGATGGGAACCTGAATTGAAAATTAATTCCAGTTTCAATCAAATACGTCAATAAATTTTCTTTCTACGAAGTATAATTTTTTCGTGAAATAATAATTGAAGGAATGAATTAATCTCTTCTGAAAGATATCTTCTTTCACTCGTTTATTTTTAATAATCTAATTGAATTATAAAGCAAATAAAATTCTTTGTTTCAATTCATTAAAAAGACTCTATCATTTTTGAATTCGATTTCGAAGTAAAATGTTGAATGATGCAAAAAAATATTATTTTGTTTTGAAAATTAGATTTGAAGTAAAAATAGGCTTAGCACAGTATGGATTAAGCCTTATATGGATAAAACAGAAGCCTAAATTCATACCCTTTAAATTTTCTAAACATATTTTCTCTTTTCTTGCGCTTATTTTTCCAGTAGGTTCATTATACCTCTAACAAAAAATATTAACCCAATAAGTTTATTGCAGTAAGAGTAATTTCACATTAAGTATATTTTAATTTCTTATTTTACGATGACTTAAAAGGATGATTCAAGTAGACTTATTTGCTATCAATCATTGATAATTGATAAGCTATAATGTTCTGGTTGAAGACATCCATCTTAAACAAACTTATCCAAAAATCTTCATTATTCACAAAATTAATTTCTCTACTGGAAAATTAGTATGAAATGCAACAATACATACAGCAGTATCGCTCATTTAAATGTTGAATGAGAAAAAGACAGTTCAAAGCTTTTTAAAAATTAAATTTAAATTTTTCTAAATTTATTCAAAATTGATTGAAAATTATAAATGAAAGATTACTGTTAATTAATGAATATTTAAAGTTTTCGTATTGCAAAAATTTTAATTCAAATGTTTTTTCTTCAAGCCTATTTTAGTGTTTACCGATATTTCGGATTCACTATTCAAACATTTATTTTGGATTCAGCATTCTAATCATTATTCGTATCCTTTGACGAATATCCTGCACAATTCATATGATCGTTGATCATCATTTGCTATTATGCGTTATTCTCAATGGAAATTCTCTCTTTCAATAGTTTAGCATCATTTTTTTTTAATTTATATTCAATTAAACTTTTCAGTGAAAAGTTTAATTCATTTCACTATTCATTTTGCTGTTTGTCAATTAGTTGTTTGACAAGAAAACAAAAATGAAAGAAATTACTTATCAAAGTATCTTATCATTCATCATATCGAATTGTGAGAATTTCGCTCGTCATAAAATTAGAAAGATCAAATTTCAAGTGTAACAAATTCAATTTAATTAAGACAATACCGCCAAAAGATAATGCCGCCTAAATATTTTATTCTAACTTTTGCTGTGAAAGGAAAAACATTCCCATTTATATATTTTTTCACATACAGCTACTTTTATGTTATTATCATGGATTAACTTTGAGTACATTCATTGCTCTAATTTAAGAAGAGCGAGAATGATTTAAGGTCATAGGCTATTTCCTGGAATAGTTTCTTTCTTTCTTGTTGAACCTACCAATTTCAGCAGGCATTTTTATTACTGTTTAATTCCATTGGACATTGGATACTTATAAAGCACAAATTTTATAATTCGTAATGTCTAAAAGTGAAGAAACAGACTTAAATCGTTAATCATTCCAAAACTTTAATTCGTCATTTCGAATATAATTTGATAGAGAATTAGCGGCATTATCATATATTTAATGAAATTCTATACCAACAAAAATTTTTTGAATTGGTCCATTTTCATCATATAATAACAATAACCGCAAATTAATTTTTGCATAATTGAACTTGCTGTAATAGCAATGAGTTATAATAATTGGAACTAAGATGAAACAACAAAGGGAAACAGATATGCATTAATTAATTAACATGAAATATTCGATATCAATATTGAGAGCAAAATTTTCTTTTTATTTATTTTGTTTCATTATACAAGTCCTTTCTCCGTTGGTGATAACACACTGGAATTAATTAGTGTTTTGGAATGCTCGAATGATTTCGTCTCGAACTCCTGCGCTCAATGCTGTAAATATATAAACATAAAATTAAGTATAGAATTTTAAGCAAGAAATTAACTGAACATCATAAATTATGATTGTCCAAATAGCAGCAAAGTTAGTGAGAGCATTTGCTTTTTCAAGAAAATAATAAATTTTCAAGTAATTAATTTTCTACACCTTATCATCTTGAATTAGTTGAAAACTTAATTATGGAGGATTCAAACAATTTATGAAGCAACGATTGGATCGCAATTTGTTATAATTAAATTTCAAAAATTATTTCTAATCTAAGCTTAAGGATTACCACCGTAACAGCTAATTAAGAGAAAGTTAATTTTTTGGAAAGAGCAATGAATTTTTGAGCTAAATTGTTTCGAATTTCAACTTTAACTCAATTTTCGAGAAATTAATAATTCCAGTTTTTAGTTTTTGAAACTCTTTCCGTTTAACAAACAAGTTCATACACTAAGTTTAAAGCAAAAATTGCGATGTAAACTTGTTTGTCGTTTTATAAGCAAAAGAAATTTTCAACTATCAGCATATCATATACACTGAAAAATATTTTGGGAATTTAAAATAATGAAGAATCAATAATTAAAGATCTTTGATCTCAATCATTTCAAAAATAATTATAAATTAAGAAAAAAAAAATTACATTTCATGATGGCTTCGATTTGCTGCGCTTTTGCGCGATTGGTTAACTTCTCATTGTTGTCAATAGCAGCCATCTTAGCGTCAGCTTCTCTTGCTGCTGGTGACAATTTCGCCACTACTGTTTGACGAATTTTCTCATAGTTGGCTTTTGCCTCCTCTGCAGCTTTTTTAAGTTTCTCATGTTCACTCTAGAAATTACCTTAGCTTCATTATTCTCTCTGAAGAATTTACTTTATAAAGAAATAAACACTAATTGTTAAATATTTTGTTTCACATAATAATTCTACACTGCCTCTCTTTTATTTTAAATTTTTATACAAAGAGGAAAAAATTGAGATTAATTTCAAGAAATAATAAAGTTTGCTAAAAAAGTTTGCTTAATCTCAATTTAGGACTATGAAAGTGAAAAATCTGGTCGATTCACTAATATGAAATATTCAATATTAGTAGAAGGAGCGGTAAAAATAAGAAGGAAAAAATCATAATAATTCAATCTAATTCTAAATTAACAAATATAATTAATCATTCATATCTAAACGATATATAAAATACTTTCAAATCAATCATTCCAAAAATACTCCGATAGAATAAGTAACAAAAAATTGTTGATCTTTAGGTTATAATTTTTACAAAATTATTTTTATAAAACGAACTAGGTAGGTTCCACCAAGTGTACGCATTAACTTGTCTAAATCATCTTCAATTTGTTTACTAGTTTTTGAATCAGCATCTTTTATCACAGCGAGATATTGATTCTTGATATTATCAGGTGCATTGGCCAAAAAAGGTGGAAATATTGACTGAGAATCTGGCTGAGTATTTCCAGATTGTTGTTGAGCTGTTATTCCTGCTACCAGACCAATTGAAAGTAAAATAAAATATTTCATTTTGATTGACTGATGAAATGATGAAAGATGTCGTCGATTATTAGAGTTCTTGGATGATTCCTGTTGGTTTTAATTGACACATAACTATAATATAAAGTTGCTTTATATTGGTGGAATGAAATGTCAGCGAATAGGGAAAGGGAGGGATTCATCGAAGGTGGTTAAAGAGTGAAGCGAACAAAATTTCAGAGGCGTACCCTTTCCTTTTTTCAAACTTCTTCACTCGTTTCTATAACTATTTTGTCTCAACAGATGTCACCAATATTTTACATGCAAATTACAAACACATCTCATCCCTATGTAATTTAGTTTATGCGTAAATTACCATAGTTGATAAAGAAAAAAGGAGGCATTTGAAAAGAGACAATGTAATAAAGAAGAACTAACCAATTCGATGACTAATAATTTAATTTCAAACTGGTCATTTCTTCATCATTAAACTTTTTCTACGCCTTTATTTCAATTTCCATCCATTATCAATACCTGATTTTTTTATAACGATGTTAGAGAAAAATGTTATTTTAAGCATTCTGAAATAATTTTTAAGTACAGGAAAGTTTTCTCATACCTTCCACAGAATGAGTCATTCATTAAAGCAGTAATTTTACTAATTGTTGGGCTTATTAATGAATTAATTTTGCTTGTTTCATTATGAAATAAAAGTTTTACAAAAATAAATTCGTATTAAAACAATGAAAGTTTCATTATTGATAAGAAGTATCTCTTAAAAATTTTCAATATTAATATTAATTTTTGATATATATAATGTTATTGTGATATGATGATAAGCAACGATGATGATATTTCAAATATAACTTATATTATCTTTAGATTTACTTTATAATTTCAAGCATTTGAATCATAATAAGCAGTTGACAAGTTTGACAATTATAAAACTGAAGCAAAGATTAATAATGCGGAATTTTTTGGAAAAAAAGGAAGAAAAATTCCGAGAAGAAAAGTTTAGTGCTGTAAAACTTTGTATGGTTCCCCTTCTTATTTGATGTGACAGTTTCAAGGCCAACTATTTTACAATTATGAAACTTGTTATCAAAAACTATAAATTATTTACTATTCTTAGATTATAAATTAATTACTCTTCTCATCTTAAATAACATTTCCAATTAAAAAAAATAAGATTTGCTAGTTAAATTTGGATTATTATTATTATTTGTAACGATATTTGAATTATACTTCAAAAATGAAATGTGAAAATTTATTGAATTAATTGCGATTGTGCAATGGTAAATTTACATAGTAAATATAATACAGCAGCAATTTATGGTAGATCGATGACTGATTCATCATATAAAAATCCTTTGTTAAAATGTGCTGACATACCAGAACTAGTTCTTCTTGGGTATAGATCAAACTTCCTCCCATACATCTTCTTCTTTATCAGAAATCATTCCGAGAAAGAGCACAAAGCATTACATTTCATTAATAGCCTTTGAGCGAAATGATTACAAATGTTAACAAAATATACTGCAAGTAATCGGTGAAATTATTCCTTGTAATTCGTAGAACTTTTTCAAAATTGCTGAAATCAAAAATGACCAAAGTGAGAATGAAAATGACCAAAAGTAAGAATGAAAATGACCAAAATTAAAAATGAAAATGACCAAAAGCGAAAATGAAAATGACCAAAAGTAAGAATGAAAATGACCAAAAGTGAAAATGAATGAAATTTTTGATAATTTATTCCATCAAAAGGAATAATATTCAAGAAAATGATTTCTTTTAAAATGTACGATAATCATATACCAAATAATCATATAAAGACTATTAAAAGAACCGTAAAAATTTTCGCTTTTAATTCTTCCAACAATAACAAAATAATTTTAAATCTAAAAGATCTAAAATAACATTTATTTCAAGTATTCAATCTTTTACTAAAATACATTTAAAAAGCTTATTAAAGCAATTTCCATTGTTTTATAACTCACATTGTATCTTTATATCGTAGCGGAATTCTACCCAAAGCAAAGATAAGATAACGAATTCAAAGATTAATTTCACCTTTAACCCTATTAAACCTCAGTGAATATGAATGATCAAACATATTAAAAAATTGTATATATCAGATTTTTCATGTATTTTTCAAAATATAATTCAATGTGCGCAAATGCGAATAAAAATTGATTTATCCTTCTGTCGATGGCTTACATTTGCAATATGTCAAAAGTATAAAATTATGCTTATTTTTAAAATTTAGCATAGAATACTGTTTGTAATTCATTTCTGACTGCTTGGGATAAATCTGAAATTTCAAAATATAATATTAAAAAGAAAATATAAAAATTAAATGCAAAATCAAAATTTTAAAATTAATCAAAGATAATTAGCAATGAAAAAATCTTTCAGAGATTATATTTGCATAAATATAAAATTTATTTTGTAATTTAAATTTGATTTGCTAATTACAAAAAATAATTACTCATTAAATATGCTTCAAATTTCTTTTTTTTCTGTTGCGCTGATAATGATTTATTTCGTCCAATATTAATCAATTCCATATCAGCTTTTTTGGCTTCTTTTGACAAATTTTGCGCCATTGTTTTTCGCAATAAAGTTGCTTTGTTATGCAATTGTTGCATGTTAGCTTTAAATTGATCGTATTTTACCTGGAAATTTAGCTTTGGAAGAACTAAAAAAAACTGTTTAGGCATTAAAGTTATAAAATTAAAATTTTAATCTGCCAAATAAATATCATTTGATTTGATATTAGAAGATAAATTCACAATTTGTGAATGGTGGGCCTAATTACTAAAGGCATTTGCGACAACCATTATTAAAATGATTGTTACAATTGTCTTTATGTAACATTTAAATTTTTACTGAAAGGTCTGAATTCAATTAATATTCATTTTTACTAAGAATATTTTTCCATTCGCATGCAATTATTTTTTTCTACAGTTAAAGCCGAATAATGCTAAGTTTTTTAAATGAATTTCAAAATTCACCTTGAAATTTGAAAAATTTCCAACATCTCTTACCTCTTACTACAATTTTCCACTTCGAAACAATCTATATCGGTGATATGGATAATGATAATCAGTTGTAATGAGAAGTCAGTGAGATTTTATGCTATTTTCATCAGTGAGATTTTATGCTACTTTTCCTCTATTATGCATTATTTCAGATATTTTCCCCATATTAAAATATTTGAGTAAAACGTCTCTTTGTCACACCTTAATCATACCACCTTTTGCTTTCACCCATTCTTCTACTGCTCTTTCCATTTGATAATCCGGTTTGTCGGCATATTCTTGCAACAGTTCCTGCATTTCTCTCATCACTGATTCCGGTGCGCCCAATAGAAATGGTGGTATAATGAATGGTTCATTACTGCCATATACAGTACAAATCAATAAGATGATGGGAAGCACAAATAAAACAAATTTCATCTTTTCATTTATCAAAATTCCAAAAATAAATCTGCAGATTTCCAATTGGATTTTTAGAGTTACGTAAATTTTGCTAACAAAATTACATAAACATTTCATTAACAAATTTTATGACATATTCAAATTTGATTTTAGATTTCAAAAATTACTTCCAGCATATCGCACACTCTGCGATAGTTTAAAATGATCAGTAAACTTACAGCTCATTATTAGATAAATATTTTGCCATTTTTTAAGTTTAAATTTTATTGGATGTTTTTCATGTAATAAACATGAAACAGGTATTTTTTAACTAAATAACAATTACGTATTATTCTTCAAGATGACTATTCAAAGAGCAAAAAATGACCGAATAATACTATAATATTTATTATTTATTGATTCTACCATTAAAACGTTCACGTAAATTTTTACGGAAAAAAACAATACAAAAACCGGAAATGTAATAAACAGTTATTCATTTGTTGAATTAATAAATTTAAAAATGTTGCTTTGCTTCTTAAATGATTTTAAATAGCTATCGATCGGTACGATAAAACAAAAAGCAAAAGAGAAGGGAAAGAATTAAATTTTTGTATTTGAAATATTATCATCGATGTTTGGAATTTTTATACAAAACTTATCGTTTTTGAAATTTCCTTTGTTTTGTAGAAAATTTGAATAAGCATTGATTTGAAATGCTTTTCAGTAAAATAATACATTTTCTTCCTTTTCTCTTTTCATGTTTCTTCTATTATTAATACATTTTCTTCAAACAATTAAAAAAGAATTTTAGTGAAAATTTAAATTTAAATAAATCAAAAATAAAATTCTTTGTTTAGCATAAACTAAGTTTCTGTTAAATAATTCTCCTTTTTACATTTTCATTTTATAGGCAATTGAAATGAAAAAGCAATTAACATTAATTTTAATTCTTTATTGTTTAATAAACATTTATTATTATTATTGTTATTATTTATTATTTATTATTGTTATTGTTGTTATTATTTATTATTAATTATTATCATTATTAATTAATATTATTATTGCATGATTTATTGAAAGTGAAAATGTTTTTTGTATGTATAAATGATTAAGAATTTTTACGAGAGATTATATTAAATATCACTTTAATGGTTTATGAATTTTATGTTATTTGATAATAAATGAACGAATGTATGAATGAATGATTGATTGATCTCTTCTTATCCTTCCATTGCTCTTTTCAATTCTTGTTTGATATTTGGCGGAAGCGCTGAAAAATTACATCAATAAGTGATGAAGATAAAATAAAGAAGAATGAAAAAATGAATTCTAAAATTCTTATCCAGCAAGGATACTTCGAATACGAATAACATATCCAACAAGGATACTTCGAATAACATATCCAACAAGGATACTTCGAATAACATATCCAACAAGGATACTTCGAATAACATATCTAACAAGGATACTTCGAATAACATATCTAACAAGGATACTTCGAATAACATATCTAACAAGGATACTTCGAATAACATATCCAACAAGGATACTTCGAATGAATGTCTAAGAAGAACAAATTGCTCCAATGGAGAAAGAGTAGGAATTTTCTTGAAAAGTGTTACAGTTGAATAGCTATAAGAAGAAAGAAACAAAAACTTACCTTTGATGATGTCAACAATTTGCCTTTGTTTCTGCATTGGCGTCAGTGAGCCGTCCAATGCAATTGAGCTCAGTTTTGCGTCAATCTTTCTTGCTTCAGGTGATAGTTTTGATACAGCCACTTGATGTTCTCTTTCAGCTTGTCGTAAAGCATTTTGCACTTGCTCTTTGAATTTTTTGAAAGCTTTCTATAAATTTAATAACTTATCTACGAGTTATTTACTGAATTATCTAATCAGATTGTTGTTAATTTTAGAATTTTGTCAACTTACTTAAACATCGATTGATTGATGGTTCTTGTAAGCTTTATTGAATTAAAACTAATTTACTAACTTGAATTTTATCACTCTGTCGGCTAATCCATAATTCAATCGACTGTTCTACTTCTTTATCAGTTCGTTGTTCAGCGCGGACAAGTAGCTGTTGAAATTGATCAACAACTGCCGCTGGTTCACCTACCAAAAATGGAGGTACTATTGGTTGTTGTCGCTGGGCAATAGCCAATAAAATAAGTAAATTAGCAATTATGAATGCTTTCATTTTTGAGGGTTACCTGAAAATGGAAAATTAATAAGTGATGTGAAGAATATTAAAAAATAAGAAAAAAGTTAACTGTATTTAGACGAACTTCAAAAAAATCGTTGGTTTAATTGCTGTGATTGCTGGGTGAACTGTATTTTTGCGAACTTCAAGAAAAAAATGGCTGGTTATACTGCTTTGATTGCTGGGTGAAACTGTCAATGACATTTGAGTAACATTTTATATGTTTTTTAAAGTAAGTGAATCATTAGAGAAAAAAAGGGTGACAGCAATAATTTCACTTAATTAATTATCTTCTTTCACTCAATGTGTTCTTCGCTAAAATGTTCCATTCGTTTTGCTCATATTGTTGGTATGTTTCTCAATTGCCTATGCATAAAACAATTTTTATCGTCGAAAAAGGAAAAAATCAAAATTATGATTCAATTTACCAAATTACCACAGAATTCAACTTTTCTCTCTTCCTCTCTCTCTCTCTTTTAAGCATATATTATTTTACTACGATCTACAGTTTTCATTTAGCGAAGATAATTTCTTTGAAATGTTTCTGTTTATGGTTGATTGCACGTAAAGATCGAAAATACGTAAAATTTTATTAGCAATAAATTTTAAAATTTTAACAACGACAAATTATCATTATTATTTCTTATCATTAATTTTCATTTTAAATATTCACTGCCATTTATTTAATGATATTTAAAAAATGAAAATCATGAAATTCATATATTTATACAGTTGTATAAGAAATAAACTCTTTTTTTCAACTTCACAAAAATGTTTATCAAAATTTGTTGAAATAAATAAAATGGTTCGAATTGTTCATAACATATCGCGCAGTGATAATAATGTATTTTTTGCTGTTCGAGCAAATTTATTGCCTTTTAAAACTGGTTGCATTACTTGTTATTTAATAAATTTAATTAAATTAGATAAAAATATAATGCACTACAGCAAATCATTGTATATTTCTTTTTCTATTATTTCAGTGTTCTTTTCTTTGCGAGAATTATTTATCGAATTAAGATGTGTACTTGGTGAAATTGGTTATCAGTGTGAAGTCTAAAAATATTTATTACCAACTATTGCCTGTATCATAGTTGTAAGATAATTTAAATGGATATAGAATTTATCAAAAATGAAAAAATCAATTATTTTTGAAAAATTCGAAAATTCTAAATTGTTAAAAATTGAGGTTCAAAATGGTTAACAAAAAAAAATTAATGAACGAAATGAAAGTATATATGCTATGATTTATAAAATTTAGAAATACAAAAATGGCAATTGCAAAAATTTTGCTGTAACTAAGCAAAACCGGCATGGATAAGACTGGCAGCAATGGATTGTTTAGAAATTGGCTAAATTTAAGTATTACTATTTTATCAGCAATATTTGACAGTATCAATTTATTATCAACTTTTCTTTAAAATAATTATTACAACAATTCAACGGGAAGTTCTCTATTCGGCAGAAAGCTCACATACATCATCAAAATGAAAATTTTAATCGATTCACAAAAAATATTACGCCTAACGTCATTTTTCGTGAGGAAATTTTTTCACTTTACAAATTTTCTATCTTTCATCAATTACCGCTTTTTTGCGTTCACTTCATTTTCGGTTTTTTTTACATTTATAATGTGAAACTTTAAAAAAAATAGTAGGCCATTCAGCAATTTTATTTCAGAAGAGATCACCGATATGAGTGGAAAGGCAGAAGAGTGGAAAAAGAATTAGAATGTTATTATTATTATTATCTTAATTGAATGAATGGATCATTTGAAGTAGCCATCTTTGAATTATTTTTAATATTTATAATCGATATACAGATCAAATGGATTTTATAAAACTTCTTTCTTTCAAATTATACATTACATAGAAATATTTAATTAATGTAAAAATTGATAGGATGAGAAAGGCAGCTTTTATTTCAAAAGAATGATAATTCAGGAAGGGAATAAACATGTAAATGAAATTTTGACTATGTTACAACGATGGGAGATGATTAATCTGACTTCGTATCCATATTTATGATCATTGAAGTCATTCGAAGATTATCGGTACCTTTTTTAAAAGTGTATCTGAAAGGTATTAAAATTTAAATTTTCAAAAAATTTTTATTTCGATGCTATTTCAGCTTGAAAAGAAATCAAGAATTATTTTGTTAAATCGATAGATATAATCTGCGGTGAAATGAAACAAATCAAAATAATCAATGAAACAAATCAAAAAATAATTAAATTAAATCTTTAACTATTTTACAGTCTCTGCACTTTTTTTATGCATTTGAATATATCAATCTGGTTTCTCAGATGAATCCGATAAATAACAAACGAAATATTCTTATTTTTGATCTGGATATTATTTGATGATCGATGTGCATTCAAGCCAATAACCATTCATTTTGTTTTCGCCAATGATTGATCTCTACGACTAATTGGTTTCTTCGATAGGTCACTTTATATCTTTCTCGGTTGGAAGAGGTCGATATTTTCCGGATGCTAATGTATCTGGAACTTAACTTGTTTTGTCAATTAATTCTGAAGTTGCCAATTTGACTCCTTCAAAATTAATTATTAGATAATTTGCTCCAATGCTTCGAAAGGCAAATGAAAAAATTCTAAATTCCAATTTTTCCTTTTTCAAGTGAATAAATGGCTTCAAATTTAATAAAAGCTCCCGAGAGAATTATGATCAAATGTTATTTGAATTGTTAGCAATATCTGATAACTAAATACAATGTTTTTGGATACTTTCAGATTATTGCTAAACAATGATCGATTCATTTATCAGTGTTATCATTAGATGCGGAAAATCAACCAGAAGAAGAATTCTGTCAATGACTAAAAAATATGAATTGGAATGATTTCTGATACATCTTCTTTCATCAAATTTTTTTATTGCATTATTTCAATAAAATTGTAAACTTATTTCTAATGTCTTATTTATCAATTTTCTTTATATGTTTTGGTGATAAATATGATAAGTAAAAATGAATGTGACATATCATATCTCAATATTCACTCAGAATGCCCTCTTTTCTTCCTTACAGTTATTCTTAATGTTTTAATTCAAACTTTTATACCTTTATTGTCTTTTATAATAACGCTGTATTATATCTTATTAACAATTAATCGTCTTAATTAAATAGCAAAAAATACTAACCTAAAATTAAACATACAAAAATTAAGGTAGTATTCGTGAAATAAAGGTATAAGGCTATTCATAAAAATAAAAGGTTAAAATTTAATTTTTTAAATTTGAGAAAATTGAATTATATGAAAATCTTCCCAATAAAAATTTACCATTCATATCGGTGAGATGACGACAGTCGTTGTCAAACTCAAAGATATACATATAATAAAATAGATTTCGTGAAATTAGGCTTATTTTTTATAAAAAATAGTTTAGATAAATGACGTCAAAATGCATTGAAAACAGTACTGATCGCTTTTTGATTTTGTTTTTGTCATGTTTTGATCAAGCTTGTTTTGATCAGGGAATTTTTAAAAGGTATTCATCATAAGTGAGTGAGTCAAACAAATCAAAAAAGCTCCGTCAAATTTATCATTCATATTGATATGATGATAATCATATCGGGAGACTATGAATTTACTCTCTGAAGTTCAAATAGTTTTTTCTGAAAAGCATTGAATTCTCCTCTTAGAATATGAATGTTCGACTATCTCATCTTAGCATTTCAATGATTTCTGATGGGTCTCAAATCTGAGTGAATATCGAAATAGTTTTTAAAATTGCTTTATGTATAAAATGCAAAGATATGAATTTTTAATCGGAATTGAAATGCAATATTCTTAACATTTCTCTTTGATAAAATTTAGTATTTTTTACAACTAAATTATTTGAATTTCAATTCCGATCAAAAATATATACATCAATGGTCATTTCCTTTCGGTACTTTCTTATCTGTGCATCCAAAAAGAATTTTAAATTCTTTTTCTCTCCCTTTATAATTGTTGACAGATTAGCAAAAATTGTGAAAGGAAAAAAAAGGAAGTGAAATTGTTGATGAAGTTTTATTGAAAGGCGGCGGCGCTTTAGGTATGGAAGGAAAAGCTATGCGTTATAAGTTCGAAGACTTATCAAATAAATAGTCGAGCAGCTTTTTCTATTTAAGACAGCCTTTTTTTCTCTTATCGACACTTCCTTCTGTTATGATGCACTCTTTTTGGTTATATGACGAAAGGACTCAGTGAAATAACATTGTTAGTGAATTTATGCTATGAAAAATTTAAATGATTTTGAATGCTTCGTAACGACAACAAAAAAATTTGGTTGTTTTGATTAAATCCTAAAAATATGACGAACTAAAAGTAAAATTTAGGATACTGAATCATTTCATCTGTGCTTATTCAATGAAGCTCTCTCTGTCAGCCATTGTTCCATCTGCAACGATCATCGAAATATGCGCTAATTGTACCGTTCAATTAATTCATTATCGAATTGTATTGTATCTTCCAATTTTTTATTCTTTATCAAAATATGCGCTAATTCTACTTTCTAATTAATTCATTGCCGAAATATGTGCTAATTATACCCTTCAATTAAAACTTTATGAAATGTTGAAATGATGAACATATGATGTTGAAATACGCTCAAAATTTATGGACAAAATAATATTATTGGCTACAATATTAATATTAAAATTAATCATAAGCAATTTGCCAATAAATTTCAGGCTAACTGAGTTAAAAAAACTTAACTTAATAAATTCGAAGTAATTTATGATTTTAATTTAAATTTTTTAAATGATGCTTTAGTTCGATTGTGCAAAAATGCAGTTAACATTTCGTAAATATTTTAAATTTTTAGATGTGCTAATGAAAAATAATCATAAATGTTTTAAATAATATCATTCAATCGAATTTGCAGGATTCCGGTTTTAATAATTAATAAATGCTGAATTAATTTCGTGCAGTATTCAATTATAATACTATTATTATTAATATTGATTGCGAAATTTGAGAATACTGTAAAAATATTGCCACCCCTTTTTTCGCAAAATTGTCTGTGAAATTTTCTCAGAAAATTTTTAAGGAGAAGAAGAGGCAAACCAATGTGCCGGATTAAGATTAATCCGAATTGCTGCACAATCTGAAACACTTTCATCTCTTTCTTTCCCTCTTTCTCTCTCTCTCTTCTAAAAATTCTTCATTTTCGGAAATTCATTGTTAATTACCAGCTATTCTTTTGATCTCACAAAAATTATTATGTTTTTGATTTATCTTCGTTTTCCTTTCTTTTTTTGAATTCAAAAATAGTAGAGGAATAGCAATTTACCATTTAAAATATAAAATTAAAAAGAAGTAAACCGATAATTTTATAAAAGGTTCATTTTCTGCTAGCTACTCTCTCTCTCTCTCTTTCTGTCTTCCTTTGTTTATTTTCCTTTTTAATTTAATCTTTTTTGTTTACACTTTTGATGCATAAATTATATCAACAGCTCTTTATTATCTTTTTTACGTCATTACTGCTTCATCTTTTCGTAATTGAATTTAACTTTCTGAAAACTAAATTTGTTGGTCTAATAAGAAAGAGAAGCTACGATGATTGAGGGAAATTAGTTTACAACATTTTATCATTTCCAAAAAAAGCGCTCATTAGTAAAAATGCAAATGCATGCAACGGTTCAACGATTCATTATCGTTTCAACTTTCTTTCAATAATTGTTATCAATGAATTGCTATCAAATTCCTTCATATATATGAACATTCGAAATTAAATTTCAATTTCGTTCCTTAATTTCTTCTGCTAAATTTCAAACTTTAAAGCTAATTGCTGTTATTGTTTTTTTGCCACAAAAATAGCAGCTCTAAAAATTTTATTTTATAGATGTGAAAATTGAGGAGTAATAGTGTTTCGTTCATAAGAGATGAAGATGATTAATTCAACTAACAACATCATGCGATATATCTTATCATTTCTTATCATTAATGTAGTATCGACATCATATCATATCATAACAATTCTTTTCCTTCTTGATTGTAAATACTATAAGTTATTTTGCAGTAAAATAAATTTTTAATGCTAAAAATTAATTGGTAGAATGCGATGGTAAATGAAGTATTAGTTTTGTTTTAACAGCAGTATGACCTTTGACCGGATTGTATTCCTGAATCGATACAAAACAGTAGACGATGAATTTTTGGAACATTCTGAATGGATCCGTAAACTTCGAACACCATCACTGATTGGAATTGGTTAATGTTTATTTTTTGAATTAAAAAACATTATGTTAAAATGAATAGAGAATTTTATGAATTACAATTTGCACACTTTGCAAAATTTAATGATCGAAATAAAAGTGATGAGAAATGCAGTATGATGTGACAAATCTATCAACAAAATGTTTCTATAAAAATTTTTTATGCAACTTTTTATTTGAACCATTCTTTTATTAATTTCATTCCTGTTCCGGTTTTTCTCTGTAGCTCTGTAGCAGTTCCGGTTTTTTCTCTGTAGCAGTAAAAAAAATTTATTACCAGTTTGATCACATTAATTGAATCTAACAATCGCTTCATTTTACCTCTCCTCACATCTCACCTTTTATTTCATCCTTTCTCTTACTATTTCAATGAATGCACTCACGAAGGCTTATTATTGAGAGGCAGAAAAAGAAGCTTTGCGCTCACTCATAGTAGCAACTGTTATTATTAAATGTGTTAATTAATTTAAATCCTTAATGTTAACTTTATTTTTCTCTGTTTTAAAACTTATAAAGAGCATATATGAAGTATGAATTACAGCTTCTGTTCTAACGATACCGTTTGGTATATTTATTATTACTCCGTATGTGGTGATGAATGTTTCCGGTCCTTCAGCATTACTCTCATTGTTAATTGCTTTCATCATTATGATCCCATCCGGTTACATTTACTTTTGCTAAATCTTAAAATAAAAGTGAAATAAATTTTAAGAAGATGGAAATGATTTTTAAAAAAAGTTTATGATCCACCGGTAGATTTACGGAAAATTGATTACCTTTCGAGCTGATGATACTTCTAATATAAAAAAAAAGAACGTTTGAAAGTAGTGAAATGCCAAGTATAACGATTTCTTTTCTGAACAGAATATTTTGAAGCGAATACGAAGGAGTTTTAATATCTTAATTTAAGTTTAATTTTATTCATAGCAATGAGTTACATTAAATTCGCTTTTCGCTGAATGATTCATTTTAAAAATTTTGAAGATAATTGATATCATATTATTTTAATTAGCAGGAAATAGTTTAATTTTTAAATTGATGTCTTCAGGATTGCATATGAATGAATTGATGTGTTCGATGCCAAAAAGTTGCTTATTATATAATTTTACATATGTCAGTTTTGGTGAAATACCAGCATTTTTGGTTGGTTGGATATCATCACTCGATTTTATCATTTGTATTGTTATTGTAGCTAAAAATTGGAGCAGACATATGGTGCTGTTTCGCTTACTTCATTCATCTTTTAAATTATGCTTAAAATAGAATAGTTAAATTAGTGAAATACTATAGAATATAAAATAAAATAAAACAGAGCGATTGAAATTCAATAATTCATATAATAATACATAAATAAAGGAAGGTTAACATACAAACAAAAGAAATGCATTCTGCACATTCATTTCAAATTTGAATTTGTAATTTTCAGAATTTATTATTTCATGGATTATTTGATAAGCATTTCACAGTGGAGATGCCTTATCATTTTGATTCAATTTTTACAACTAAAATAGATTTTCTTGCTGTATTAGCCATCTTTATTGCATCAATTATATTATGCTGTAGCATTCGAGTAAGTTTTCTCCTATTCCAAAACATTCAATAAACAAGCATTTATAAAAATTTTAAAAGTTATAAAAATTAAAATAAATGTATAAACAATCTTTTAAACTCCAATTAAAATAACATAACAGGTGTTGGCTGTTGTATCGATAATAATGGTAACTATATGTGCCTTGGCAACTAATAGTACCGCATTTGTTGGTTTTTATTTAGCTGATCCAAATAATTGGTTGGCTGCTGGCTTTTTCAAGGATGGTATTACCGGTGTACGTTGCAAGTTTCTGTTTATACTATCATTCCTGAAACCTAATTTGCAATTTCTTTTTTCAACTATGATATTGCAATTCCTACTTTCAAGTATGAATTTTGCTGCATTTCAGTCTAACGTTACTAAATCCGGTATGTTCATTTGATAGCAGAAAATAATCCGGTCATCCATTTAATTGTACATGAATAGAAATTGAAAGAATATGATGATAGTTTGATGTAAGGAGATTTTTCTGTTGAAATTTCTCATATTAATTTATTTTAACTTAGATTTCATGAATGATTACATGGCAAACGGATTCTTTTCTGTTATAGTAGCAGCAACATACAGCTCTGTTATTCAATATTGTACTACGACAATTATTAGTGAAGAAAACATAATATTATAGGTAATGAAAGGTGCATCGAATTATTTATGTGCCTATATTGGAATTGAAACATTCAGTTTTTTGTTAGAAGAAACGAAAAATCCACGAAAACGACTTCCATTTACTATGTCATTTATAATTACCGTTTTAACATTAATTATGTTTTTAACAACAATGGTTATCACATTGGTTGCTGATATCTCAACATATCCCAATGATATGCTTTTCCCAGATATTTTTGACAAACTTAGGATACCATCCGCGAAGTATTGTTTGTTACTTTTACTTTCGAGAAATGACTTGAATAATTTATAAATACGACGAATTGTTCTTTTGCAATGATTATTTTTTTCTTTTTAATTTCTAAGAATATGTAAAATAAATTTTCTAAAAATTAATATAAGATGTAAAAGAATAAAACAGAATAAAAGTAATTTGTTAAGTAATGTTAAAATACAAATAATATTTTATATAAATTTCAGTAAATCTTCATTTGTTGCAAAAACTTTTCTTTTAAAGATATGTTATGGCAATTGGATCAGTTTGTGGCCTATCCGGAACAATGCTTGCAATATTTGTTCCTGCAACAAGAATTTTAGCATCACTTAGTGGTGATAATTTACTTCCTTCAAGCTTACTGGCTCATACCAGTAAGAAAAGAGGAGTACCATATTATGCGGTTCTATTATGCGCTCTAATCTCATCTTCACTAATTATTCTCAATACCGCTAAATTATTTGGAATTATCGCCTTCAGTACTCCGTTAAGGCTTATAATACTTGTAAGATTTAAAGCACTTACTAATTATTTTCCTATAAGTTCTAATTAATAGTTTAATTATTCATTTAGGCTTGTTTGGTATACAATCAACGCTATAATTCAAATGTTGGATTATTCCGTGAAACAGCTTTTTATCGTAATATTCATCCTAAACAATATAAAATGCAACCGTTGAATATTGGTACAGATGATAGAAATTCATCTTCATTTACTGTTTCGAGGTAAATTTATATCATACATTAATCATATCAATATTTTTTTCATGATAGTAATACATTTTTTTTCATGATAATAATTCATGATAATACAAGCATAGTGAATGCTTTCAAATCATTCCTGTGATTTTAACATTTAAAAGGCTCATTTCCTTTTTAGAACAATCTCTACTAATCCTATATACTTTCAATTACTTAAGCAAAGTATTTTACTTACAAAATTATGATGGATATTATAATTAAGTTAAATTTAGTTAAATTTTACACAAAATTGAGTATCTTTTAGCTTTTTTCCGTTCAAAAAAATTTCTTTTAATCTCAGATTGAGTACAGATGATGAAAGCAGTGAAATGATAAGTAGCCATGAAATTCTACGAAATATTATAATTCAACAACAAGCACAATGTGATCAATGGTTAGAGGAAGTATGTCACTTTCATTAATTACATTTGCATAAATTTTTTAAATAACAGCTAAGGATGATAATTCATGAAAAACTTATCTTTTCAAACTTTCAAATGAATTATTCAGATAAAAGAATCATAGTATTCGACTATATTAAATTTAAAACTTGTAAGAAAATAGAGACATGATGTCTGTCTTTTGCGTGATTATGATCAATTCAGCATGCTAAATCTTACTGTTAAACAATGCTTTTTTATCCTGCTCTTTTAGATACCATTAATAAATGAAAATTTGGAATTGATATCAAATGTAGAAGAAGTAGATGGAAGAATAAATAAGAGAATTCTAGCGAAAAGATCACTAACTGATACTCAATACAGTACATTCGTGAGTATCTTGCTTTGATAATAAATTAAAACTATGAAATTTTTGCTAACAAAATCTACAACATATTTTTTTACAACATTTTATACAACAACATTATAACAATTTACAACAAATTTACAACATTATATTTTTTTCAATAATCATATTTCATTTTTACAGTATATTTTGTTCGCATTATATTGCAAAAAAATAATTTAATTGAGACCGATAGTGGCAGTTATTTCTTCATTATAGTGAAATGAGGCAGACTGAAGCATTGACTGATTCACATTTTAATTCAAAGACCAAAAGAAATTATTAAAATAAGAAATATTCCTTCATTAATATACGATTTAAACTTAATTATCCAAAATTTAATGTATTTTAGTGTTAAATTAATTGATTTTTAAGTTTTCCACCAAAAAATTTGAAATTAATTCAGTCGCATTCGCTAGCAGAAAATCTAAAAGAAATTACAACGAAATTTCGCAACGATCAAAAGCGACTATCACTGCCATCATTTCATAATTATCGCTGTAATCATAACTGCATCAGATCACCATGTTCTTCTCCTTACTTTAATGCTACAAGTTGGTTTTTTTTTCACATAATTTAATTTCAAATTATAATTAAACATTTCATTAGAAAGTTTCTTTAACCTTCAAGTTCCAGCTGTTGATGCTATTGTAACTTTATAGCAACCTAAAAGTTTCTTCAACTTCTTTTTTGAACTTTTGTCTCCATTTTACTAAATACGTATGTATAGGTTATGGGGTCGAGCGAGTCTTTTTAACCAATATTTTTTATTAATTTTAATCTTCGGTGAAGTATTTAACAGTGTTACTCACAAGCAATTACAAGAAATTGCGAACTTCAATCTAAACATCTCAAATTTTTGATAAATTATAACTTCTTATTTTCCAGCTTCCATTTCTACTTCAATGATAAAAAAAAATATTATTCTGTTGCAGCTAATACCAAAAAGCATAAATTTCACATTTTTGAACATGACATTCCGGAAATACCATATTGCAACAAATATCCTGAATCGATCTTTAGTTCGGAAGATTCTGACAGAACCAATTATAAACACTCAATGAGAATTTTACCATTTTTCATTATAATTTCCGTAATTATCGGATTTTTGATCCTAAAAACGGAGAGTGGCTTAACAAAGGTATGTATGCTCAGTTATCTGTAAGATTTCCATACTTCTTTCAATACATAATTAATTAGTTAATTGTTGAAGGAGAGTTTTTAATTTTCTCAATTAATTAATTTTTCACTCATTTTGAAAAGAAATAAGAAATATAATATAAAATAATTTATTACATTATAATGTTGACCATTAATTTATTATAATGCCTAAATCTAACTAAAATCTTTCACCAGTTGAATTTAGAATAATTATTCAAAAGAAAGAGTCCAATTGAACAATTAACATCAGATAACAGTTCTAAAAATTGTTTAAAAAGTTCATTTAGATCATGAATTAAAAAATTTTTTTATTATCCATCTTCTTTGTTTGCACCCGAAATGTGCAATCTATATTTTCGCAGTGCATGCATGCGCTGATCGCACTTACAGCATTTTGCATTACTAACTGCAAGCTCGTCTACGGTAAGATATTGAATGAGCATGATTGCGATCACCTTTATTAATCATAACACCATTCCGGTTTCCATGCAGAAACGGATGCTCTGTTAAAACCATTCATATTTCGGTATTGAAATTCTTTAGAGTAGACAAACTAGATTTTAGCAATATTCAATCCCTCCGATGCTACTGGCATGCATCGCTTTGGGATGTCTCGTAATAAATACTGCCCGACAAACAGTTAATCCGTTAAGCAATGAACGAAGCTGTAAAACACCTGCATTCCCATATCTCACACTTTTTACCATCTTTTTGGCTACACTGATAGCTTCTACAACTGATCACATCACAATCGTGGGATTTATCGCTTGGATTGTTATTGGTAAGCAAGTTCGATCTTTTTTTTAAACTTTTACAATAAAAATTTGATTATGTGGAAAACGAAATGTGAATTGAATTCAAATACATATTTCTAAAGAAAACTAAATTTTAATCTAATTCAACCCTTAAATTTTCTGATTACAAAAAGAAAATTGAAAAAACTTTTCATGCCTTTTATCTCCTTAAAAAATTAGATATTTTAAACATCCCTCATATTAATCGGTTATATCAAAATTTAACAGTCATATTTCAGGAATAATACTCTATGCACTATACGGTTATAGGCATAGCAAAGAAGGTCGTGTACAGTCTAATGGTTTGATCATTATGAACAGTATGATAAAGGATAGTTCCTCAACCGGAATAATAAGCAGTACCAGTAGTCATCAATCTATCGGAATCATGCTATAACGATATGATATCGGATAACAAAAACAATGCCACTTAATCCTTTGTGGACATCATTATCTTCGAAATGAGATAATTAGACAGTTATCAGCAAAAACGATTTTAAGAAATATTTACTGGCAAGATGAGTTTCATTTTCAGATTCCGAGCTTGTGCAATATGAAATTGTTTGCTATCACTTGATGCAATCTTTTGTATTACAAAAAAATCCATCTCAAGCAATCTTATCAAATCATACTTCCAAAAATAGTAAAATAGAAACTTGATTGTTCTTTTTGGATCAATCATTGCAAATTCAAAATTAAATTTAAAGCGGGAAGTGCCAACAGCATCATATCACAATCACTTAACTTTTTATATATGAATAAATGAAAAATATATGAAAGAAAAAAGAAACATAGCACATTATTTTATAACCCTGTTTCGCCTAATCCAAAAATGATAACATTGTCAATACATAGGTATAGATAGGTAAGAATTCTAAAAAACATATATACATGATTATGATAAAGTATTTCGACATTGACATAAACGTAATTTCAAAAGTACAGAAAAGACGGTGTTAAATAAGCTCGATAAGTTGAAAAATTGAAAAAAAACAAAGCTTTTAAAACTCGAATTCTGTTGACAAAAAAAATCAGCATTTTATCGAGAGTAGTGACTTCGACAGGAAAATAATTCTGATCGGACAAAAGTATATTACCCTTAATTAGGCTATAATTCATTCTTATACATTGGCCATAATATCTCTTATCTGTCTATATATACTTAAAACTTGAATTGCAATAATGAGGTAGAATAAGACAAGATAGAAATTATATAAGAGTAAATGCTCTATAAAAATACAAGATAATTTTAGCAGTAGAGCGAGTTTACTTTTTTGTAAATTCATATTTTCACTTGATATGAACTTGTTAAAATAAAAATGGATAGAATAAGTTTTCTAATTATAAATGACGAACAAACAATAGTAATACAATTAATTATAAATGGTCGAAGAATCGTCCGGAAAACTGAGATCATTGAGAACAGGGGAACAGGTAATATCAACAACAGTAATCTTCACACAAGCAACAGGAATAACAAACAATAACAATAGTAACAATACAGTTTACTGCATGAACGTTGCATAAATGGTATTTAGAACGGAATAGGATTCTTTCAATCAGATTCTTCACTTCCTGCATCATCGCCGGAATAATTGAATTTCGATGTTCCTGGATGTCGTACAAGTGACCCTGTTGCCGTTCCATTGTTACTTGTTCTGGTTGCTGCATTTTGCAAAGGAGCCTTTGGTGAACGGTTATGGCTTCCTCCAGATACTAAGTGGGTACTTCCTGAAATAAAAAAGTATTGGTTGAATTTGGAATTGTGTACTATTGAACGGATCATATGATCCAATTACCACCATAGAGATCTTCCTATGGATTTAAAACTCAAAACTTGCAATCAACAAATTATTTGTGAGTTGGGAAACATTCTAATGACAAGATATGAACAAAGCATACTATAATAAATTACCGCACCAACTTGGTAAGGATGCATGCTGTTCAATGTCATCATTGTAGGAGCTGGTGAAGGTACAGAAAAAGCTGTGGTACTCGGAGTAATTCCGAGGGAAGTATTGACGGTAGTACCACGTAATAAGCTCACCGATGGAGTTAATGATGACTGCCTGCTACCTCGATTTGCAGCAGCACTTGAGTCTAAAATGAATCTAAAATTAACAACACCAAAAAGATATTAACTAAATCGAAGCATTCACTTTGGTTTTCTGAATATTGACACTTTTGGTTTTCTGTTTTTTTTCCACTTTTGGTTTTCTAAACACTTTGGTTTTCTGAATATTGATTAAAGGAATGCATTAAATTAGAAAATACCGGAATGCGAACTGCCAGGATGATTTTGTTGGTGCGAAAGTACAGAATGCGATGGACTTGTAAGTGACCAAGTCTGAAGACGCGAATAAAGTTCACTGAATGTTGGGCGTCTCTCAGGATGTTCATGCCAACATTCAATCATTAAACTGCAAAACGATCACTCATCAGTTAGAGTTCCTTTTGAAGGAGGACAGATTCATTTAACGAAAATCACATAAGGTGTCCAATTAACTAATCAGAACACACAAAAAAGTTTTAATTCCACAATGTTATTACTTAAACGAATCCTAGAGTAAAAATAAGCCTGCCGATACCTATAAATATTAGTTGGGCAGTTCTGTGGACATTCCAGTAAACTTCGTACAGAAATCAATTCGATGACATCCTGATGAGAGTAACTCTCATAAGGCTGTCTTCCGTATGAATAAATTTCCCATAAAGTTACTCCAAATGACCAAACATCGGTTGCTTCATTGAAACGACCATACTGGATTGCTTCTTGTGACATCCAACGAACTGGCAACGACGTTCGATGCATCACCTACAAAAAATTATTTCATAGTGTTGTTATATTAACTATTTCACTGAAGATACAGGAAAATATTATTCTTTGTCAAAAACCAAAGTAATTTAAAAATACCGGGTTTCTTCCAGAAAAATAAAGACTAAAAAGAAGGTTTTATAGCAAAAATTTGAAGGAAGCCCAAATACAAAAGCCAAAAATAAAATTTCGAAGAAAATTCGTTTGCTCTAAAATATCCTATAATCCGATTACCCAAACACTGATTTTATGAAAACTTGTAATACTTCAATCTATTACTTCCATAAACTCATAATAACCTTGTAGTAGTCCTTTTCATAGCAACTTCGGACCAAACCAAAATCAACAATTTTAATAACCCGCTGATCAGCTACAAGACAATTTCTAGCTGCTAAATCACAATGCACGAAATTCATGCTCGCCAAATATTTCATACCGTATGCAATCTAGAACAGAACAAAAGTTAATCGAAATCATCTATAAATTTACATAAACCGAAATATCTTCAATAAAATAATTCTTTTATTCCTTCAACAAAATGACTTAATGAAAAAGAGTAAGGTAAACTCAAATGATTGTTAAAAAGGATACCTGAAGAGCAATACGCAAGAAATCTTCATTATCAGCGATGATCCGCTCCTGATCAATTACTTGTTCATATCTGCAAATAATATTCTTCGTAAATATAAGGTTATGAACTGCTTAATATTATACGCGCCCTCTCTGATACGCTAAATATCCAATAAATTTACCAGGAATATTCAAAATATTAGAAAAAAAAAATATTGGAATGGCACAACAAATCTGCCTTGCAACATCATTGCAAAAAATTGAGCTGTGGAAAAAATGTACTCTTTGATTTTGAAGTTTACCACATAAACATCTCACTTTCAAAGATGAAGGGGTAGCAGTTTATATTATTTGATGTGAAAAAATATCAAAATCGATCTTCACTTTTAAAATTCGATCTATTCTTTCTACCCTATATTTCGCAAAAAATCCCGCAAATTTTCCAATGAAAATTTCTGAAGTATTAAACGAACCCATTAGATTTTGGTGCTCGGAGGCGCAAAAACTCATGAAGATCACCATGTACCATATATTCAAACACAGCACTCAGCTGCTGTGTATCAAAGTAACAGACACCAAGCAAACGCACAACATTTGGATGATCGAAAGGTGCTATCGTGCGGATTTCCTCCTCAAAATTTTGCCTCTCCACGGCACTACTTCCAGATTTCAACAATTTAATTGCCACCTGCAAATAGCTTTAATGATAGTTGCAAAAAAGAGGGATATATCTCCATTTCATCCCATTTCCTACTCAGTAAAATAGACGAAAAAGAAAGCAAAAGTATCTAATAACATTCTCTCGCACAACAGTTCTATTTGTTTGTTAAAACTCTGAAAATAAGGAGGATGAAAAATGAACAGGTAGAAGAAAGGGAACTAACCTGCATCGGCTCATTATTAAGAAGTGAACCATGCCAATTACCACTATGTATAACACCAAACTGTCCTTCACCAATCAAATCGCCTATTTGCAACTAAAATTCATTCTGCCTCAGCAATTAAATAGACTTCTCTGTCGATGAAATAACAGAAAAAGTTTATATCTCATAATTTATAACTAAAAACGAAACAGACAAAAACACAACTAAGATCAAAAAATACTACCTTCAATGTTAAGCGTAGACTAGAAGTTGCACAATGTTAAAGAACTAAAATGCATAATGTCATAAATATAATTTGGAAAAAAATGCTCACCTGGTTAGACTGTATTTCGGGAATTTGATATGGCTCAACGGAAGGTTCAGTGGAAGGCCTTGGACTATACTGAGCATAACTACCAGAATGATGTTGCATAAAAGTATTGCTATTTGTCGATGCTTGTATCAGTGAGGAAAGCTCAAAAGCAGCGTTGTTCGGATCAGTGTTTGCTGCACCATTTAGTTTTCGATAATACGTGCTATTTACAGCGCTGAAAATATTTTTGCAATTTGGATATCCGTAATCATCTTTCCATCATGTCAAGAAAAATGCAACACACTCTTATAGTTTATTTAATTTAAAAAAAATGATAAATGAACCTGCTTGCAATACTGCATCCATTACAGTTTTGCAATCCATTTTTCTTGATAGTTGATGAAGAGCCTGCCATTTCTCTACGTCTTCTCCGACAACAACAATAACAACACAGAAGAATCAGACTAAAAATTAAAAATCCAAGACCGCCGAGTACTGCTAACTGCAACGGTGACGAAAGACTTGACCAAATGTCCGATATATCACCAATTATGGAACCCTGAATATAAACTTTTCTTCAACATTTTACAAAAATTAATACTTTTTAATATTGAGTTTAAAGGATATTCCATATAAACTCATATTAAGTTATTCTAACTCCGATACAAACAGATAATGAATTCTTACAAAGTCTTACTTGGCTAAAAAGAAACATAAATGTAATAAAAAGTACTAACATCATCATCAACGGTCCCCATTACTTCTCGATCACTTAGGTATGGATACATGTTAGCAGGACATTGACTAATATCACAGTATTCTTCCTGTCCATTTGG